GAAAACTTTTCAGAGGCTGTGGTTATACTGTTCTCAGTTTTCAGAGGCTTTTTGCTGGAACAGTATCTCTGCTTAAGAGCCAGGGCCATGCGAGCTCTTAACGCACAGCAAACTCTATTGCCTCGCCTTGGCTCAGCCTGACCCTCACAGCAAGTAGCACAACAATTTCCATTTCCTTGCACTCAGATAAGGAGATTGCTGCCTTTTTTGGTCTCTTGAAATGGTTCTTGTGTTCTGAGGGCTCTGTAAACTGAGCCATGAAGAGTAGGCATTGAGGTCTAGATAGCACAGCCTCATGTCACGTGGGTGTGCTGGATGAGCTGTGGGTTCACCTCCCCTGCAGAAAGTCCCTTTGCCTATGTGAAGGAATTTTCACAGAATCACAGACTATTCTGAGTTGAAAGTGACCCACAAGGATCATCGACTCCAGCCCTTAAGTGAATGGCCTGTACAGGGATTGACCCCACAACCATGGTGTTATTAGCAATATGCTCTAACCAATACACCACTGAAAAAAAAGGCAATGACATCAACTCAGATTTGTCTGATAAACTGCAATGATTTAAAGGCCAAGCATGCTTATGTTTTATGCTTTTCAGAATGCACAAATACAAATTAATTAAAGCTTACTTCAGGCTGTATATCTAAACCTGTTTACCAAAATATTTCTGAGAATTTACCTGAGGAAGGATTGCAGCTGAATTCAGTTGGAGAGTAAATAACGAGTGTGTGTTTCAGTGCTGATATGGTCTTAAAAGTGGCTTAAACATTTCATGTGGGTCAGCTCATCACATTATCATTTGCTCAAAGGAATACATGCCACAAAGAATAAGCTGGAATCTGACCTCCTTGCTTTTGGGGTAGTAGTAATTTCGCCTCCCTCTGCTGAGAAAAAAAAAAGGGAGGTTTTAATCTGTATCTGGTTTTGCTGGAGCACAAAGGCTACAAAGCAGTAGAAGCACACTTCCTCTGTGCTGCTGGTATCAGTAACTTAATGCAGTCTGTGCTGCTGTGCAAACTGTCCCTGAGTCAGGTTTGAGGCCAAATTAGCTGCTTATCCAGCTCCTTTGCCTGCCACAAGGTCTTGGAAGCCAGCTTGGGGCAACCCTACTTATATTCCTAGAGAGATTTACATGCAAAGGCATTGGAGTTTGTAGGATTCTGACCAGGTTCAACAGGACTGTGTAGATACAGCCACTTTGACCATGATAATCTAGAATGTCACAAGTCTTTATTTAGAGGTTATGTACGTGCTGTAAGTTAGCCTACTTTCAATAGTTAAGATATCTTATGGTGGCTTTCTTTTGTTGCATCTAACACTGAAATTGAAGTTAAAGCTCAGTATTTTAAATTAGTTCCTTCTCCTATAGAAATGTGCACAAGTGCATTTTTGGCTGCTCTCCCTTCATTCCTGTTCACATATTGGATTGTAGCTATGGATTGTTCCAGAAGAGGAAGAACAAAATTGTAGTCCATTAAAGCCAATGTAAAGCCTTCATAATATAAGCCTAAGTATGAAATATAATTGTGCATGTCAAAAACTGCACATGACATGAAGCAGAATATTGGAGATGGGCAGCTCAGGGACATTAATGGTATAGTAAATACTAAAAGAGAAGGACAGAATAGAGAACTGTGCTTGTCTTCCACACCCCTCCTCAACTCACGGAATGTTTTTATTGGAAGCAGTTAATTGTGCTGATAGAGATTTCATATTCCAGAAAGGAATGGGAATGTAGTTTGGCAAAATATTCTAGCTTTCAATACAGACAGATGAATACAGAGTAACCTTTAAAATCCCCACAGAATAAACTATTGAGAAACAGAGCAGACACATGGAGAGACCATCTGCAGATTCTGTAAATGTTCGGAGCTGTAGAATACCATCCAGTCTGATATCAAGTCATTTTTAAGCATGGTAAAATGGTACATATACATCTGTCATAATAAAAAAGAGCAAAGATTAGGCTTTCATTCCTGTTCATGATCTCCCATAGCAGCTACTACAGTATTTATACACTGAACAGATCTGCAAGCAGCAGCACACGATAAACTTCAAACAGAAACGTGCATCTTTCTGGCTCAGTAGAATTCAGCCAAGGTTGCATGTTTTCATCTCTGCCTATTGGGAAAAATATCTTAGGAATACAGAAATGTTCCCAGGTCTAGCAGATACTAGTCTGAAGCCATGCAGCATTTCCTTTGCCACTGATGTCCCCTTCGCCATGAATGTCTTCTCTGCAGCGCTCACATACCTAAGCCTTGCTTCTGTAAACCATGCTGGCCAGAGGGACTCCAGTTTCCTAGGTGAGTCATGAAAAGAGAGCTCACTGAGGAAACTGAGGCCTAGGAAACTGATAAATCATGCCCAGAGTTTCATTTGAAACAGAAGTGTGTTTAAAGTCAGCAATGAGAGAGTGTATTTTCATGTCCTGCACAGGAAGCAGGCTACTGTGCTCTGCAAATACTGAAACATAGGCGCACCTTCTTCATATAAATTCAGTGCACGGTAGTAAAGCACCCTAACACTTTATTTTAAAGCAACACATACATCCAGGTTTGGCTCACAGAATAGCATATTTCAGAGAATCTGCACTGCTTTGAAAATAGATGCCACTGTAAGGTGATGGACTACTGGCTTGGCTTTTTCTTCAAAGTATTTTCCTCCTGGTATCTGCAAGTGCTCTGGATTCAGGATAAATCAGCTGTTACTTATTCAAGTTCTGTCTGCATTTTGAGATGATGCAGTGATGGTTACATAGGAGGAAAACAAGACACAGGGCTGAATATTACACTTTTGTAAACATTTTGAGAAGGACAGAAAATCATTCCCAGCAAGGTCCGCATGGATAATAAGTTGTAGTGAAAATAAGATGCTGTTGCCACTGGCTGACTAAAATCATACAATCCATATGTGCCATGCCAGCAGCTCTCTGCTGGCTGCTATGGGTATGGTACAAATGTGCTGACACTGCAAATGCTGTGGGTGCTGAATCCTCACTTCCTGCAGCTCCAGGGAGACTGGGACAGAACCAGAACAGGGAAGAGGGGTGCTGCTGTTTGGGCACCAGGAGATCAAGATTCAGTTCTCATCTTTGTTTCAGTCTCTCTTTCTAATCTTAGACAAATCATGTAACTCCTCTGTGATTCAGTTCAGTACATATCTACTCTATAAATTCATGCTTGCTAATAGCCCCTATATTCTGCCAGAAAATGAGGTGAGTAAAATGTGACCACTAAGCAGGACAATAAGCTGTTCCACAGGACATCTGGCCTCTGACATGTGTTTAACAAGAGATGTGCTGTATAATGATGACTCCTAGTGGAATGGTGCTTTATGTGTTGCCAAAATGAATAAAGATAATCTCGATTCTGGCAGTCACTTTTTCTTCCACCTGGAGGTTCTCATACTAAATGCAGTGGCACACTTGGGGTCCACCTCCCTTCCCTCCTCTCAGTCTTTTTCCTCATACTTGAAAATTTCTATTTCTTTATCTTCTAATACGTTTAAGCTTTGGAGGGAGATGTGTTTTTCATCACAACTGAAGTAAATTTTTTTTTTTCAGGGAAGTCATTGGTCAATGACTCTTCCAAATAGTGAACTGATACTTAACTATCTTGATGATATTAGACTGCTCTAATTTCCCTCTCTATGAGTTAAACCACAGCAATCAGAGGAGAGGTTCCTCTGTCCAAGAACTAAAGGCATGTTTCTGACAAACTGTGGCTATTTCTGTCAGTGCAGTAATTTTCCTAGGAATGATAATTTGAGTATAGAGGGATATAGTCTGTCACAGTGAGGCTTTGATCAAAGTCTACAACAGCTTCCCCCAGCATTTGGATGTTTTTATTGCTGAGAAAGTGGCAGTATTTTTTGGCTGCTTTGTCAGCTCTGCGTTTCCTACAGAGAAAGTGATAATGTCTATTAGCAGCTAGAAAAAGCAAAATAGGACAGGAATTTATCGGTCCATGTTCAATGTAACCACTGTTTGTAGCATCTTACACTTTCTATCTTTTTTCTTTTCATCTTCTCTCATTTACCCTATCCTTTGATTTCTCTTTCGACCTTTTGGCCACTAGTTCATCCACATCAACATCATCATTATTTTGTAGGTTTTGCTAGATTATTTCTGAGAGGATTATTTCCAGAGAAGCTATTTTTTTCCCTTAAAAGTCTTTTGAAGTGCTTAACTTCCACAGTTATCTTCTAGAAATTTCTTTTAAAAGTCATCACTTTTCTGTCTTAGAAGAACATTAATTGCAATAATTAATTGTTAGACTAAATCTTGAAAACATCATATAACTGCAAAGCTTTTGTATTTTCTCAGATGTTTGCATAGTTGGCTGCACATCTGCACACCAGGTTCTGGTGATATTGGATCCACTCATCTAAATAAGGACTTCAGCAGCAATCCTCTAACTGAGGAAATACAGACGTTTCTATCTTCCACTTCCTTCAACAATTTCCAAAATGCATATGAGATTTTAAAAATCTCACTGTTTAAATTATATATTCTTAAGTTGAAATCCTTCTTACCAAAAAGTGCACTAGACTTCCAAAAACTGCACATAGATGAATTTGTTGACTAAATTGTTGGCAGATAAACTTGCCACCCTTCAAGGCCTTGTTTCCATGCCAACAAACTGGTTCTAGTATTTCTGCTACCCAGATGTATTTGGATGAGTGGCACTTTCTGAGGCTGTGAGAGGCGAGCAGAGGCCCTGAAGTGTGGAAGCAGATGAAGGGAGCTGAAGAAAGCACATCACAGCCACAGGACTGTTATAGGGGTATTCCTCTAAGGAAGATCACCGAGGAGTGGTTTGCACTATTGTGGGACGTTGCAGATGTAGCTGGGACTGGTTTTAGTCTCTGCAGTTGCTATAATGATAGCTGTGAAGCAGAGCAATGGGATGGAAAGAGAAGGGCTGTTAGCCAGGGCCAGGAATCCCCTGCTGGAAGTTCTCTGATCCTCACGGTGTGCATTTGTGCGTTGTTGCAGATAAACCAGACCCACCTGCCGGAACTCCCTGTGCGTCGGACATTCGGAGCTCCTCCCTCACCCTCTCGTGGTACGGCTCCTCTTACGATGGTGGCAGCGCCGTGCAGTCCTACACCGTGGAGATCTGGAACTCGGTGGATAACAAATGGACAGACCTCACCACCTGCCGCAGCACCTCTTTCAACGTGCAGGACCTGCAGGCTGACCGGGAGTACAAATTCCGCGTGCGAGCTGCTAACGTGTACGGCATCAGTGAGCCCAGCCAAGAGTCCGAGCTGGTAAAAGTTGGAGAGAAACAAGAAGGTTAGTTCTTAGGAGGAAAAAAGCATCTCAGTTCAATTAAACTCTTCCTTAAGAGTTCCTTAGCGAGGCCAGAGAGCTGCACACCCTCCTTCCCGCATGTCTCTGTGGTGAACGCTTGTGCTGGGCTGTAACTGTGCTCCAGTCCTTCACAGACTTCATTTGGGGGTCTGAGCACATTAGTTTTGCATACTTGCAGTGTGGAAACTTGGCTTCAGGGATCCCAAATCCCTGCCTTGTGAAAGCAAGCACTAATTCTCATCCTGGCTTGCTGGGTGAGTGCTGGCTGACAGAATTCTGCAGTTCAGTGCACAGGTAATGGGAAATGAAACCTTTCACAGATGTTACACATTCAGTTCATGCCCAGTTGGAAAATGATGGTTGGAGGCTTACCTGAAATACACCAGTGGGTTCATTATAGTTTATACTGGATACACCATGGAAAAACAAACCATAAAAGCTATCCCAAATTTGTTTTTGGAAATAATGAATGTGCTTGCTGCTAGCCAAGCACAGAATATGCAGCAGAAAATAAACTGGTATCTTGCAGCTAGCTGTATTTCCCATGCTTTCAATCCCAGCGTGCTAGTGTACCTCAGTCCTCTGCCCCCTAGTGAATTCAAGGCTATCCTACTTAGCATGTTGATTTTGCAGCATTATGGATGCCAAAAATATTTTTTAGGGTTTTTGGTTACATTTGCATGTAATTTTAAAAATATTTCTCAGGATCTTTTACCTCTTAATTTTTGTTTAAGTTCTTCTCAAAGGGCTAATGGGGAGAGTTGGTTTGCTGTAGAAATTAGTCAGGAAATGGTACAAAACTTGTGAACACACAAACATCAGCATTATTTTTCAAAACCAGAAAGTGACCACATATTTTTTGTTCACACCTCCATCTACCTACTGTGCAAGGATGACTTTGGTAGTCACCTTAACCAAAAGCCTCAGACCAGGAATTATGAATTTTACCATTTTTCCTGTCTTTGAGGAGTGAACTGTGTGTTGTATCTCTCCCTCTTCATTTACGTGTGCAGGGCTCTGGAGCTTGAGGTGTTCTACATAACCCTTGTGAAGTTATCTTTTATTGCTAAAGGGAGACAAAATGATAGCAAAGTGATGCAGCATCACACAATTGTGTAAGCCTCTCAAACAAAAGTAAATCATATTTCTCTTCAAGTGCTAAATGGGATGCATGCTGAGGAATTACTTCCCTCTATTTGCAATTTAAAACCAATCTAAATCAAGATGCACCTTCTCTTCAAAGTGGGGGAAATAACATTAGAAGTAGCAATAAAATTGAAAGGAAGCTAGATGTTATTGGCTCTTCATAATAAAATTCACTGTGTTTGAATGCTCTCTTTAGTTGCAGGACAAGCATCTAGGGTTGGAAACCTGACTCTTCTCTACACTTTTCCAAGAGTAACCACTACCTATACTGGACCAAAGCATACAAGTTGTTTTTCCATTTAAGTCTGAGCATTTTCTTACACAGATTTAGTACAAAAGGCTAGAAAGTGAGTGAGTCATTGGGATACACATTAAAAAAACCCAAAAAAACAACTGCAACTAAAGTTGTTTTGAGCAAAAAGAAAATGTATTCTGTTTGCAGGAGGGGGGAGGTTGTCTTTGTGCTCTCAATTCCAGGGCTTATTGATTTCAACTCTAGTATTGCAGATCGCATGGAAGAAGAGCAAATCATCTGAAGTGTGATTTTTTTCAAGTGTGTGAATATAACTTGTGCTTTAATTAAAGACAGTGGAAAATGCATGTGTTCAGCACCTGTCAAAGTCCAGACTTTAAGCTGCCATCTATGTAAACACTTAGCTGAGTAACTCAGGATTTCCTAAGCTGCCAGGAAGTCTGATTACTGATTTTCATACTGAGGTGGCCAGCACATATTAGCAATGTCAGTATGATCTTAGTGAAGAAAGGCATGGCTAAATGTTCACTGTGCATTTAAAGAAAACTAAAATAAGGTTGTAAGTTACCAAAGATTAAAGCATGCATTGCCATGTTTGAGGAAAATTTGTTACTGCTGACTCACTTCTGAGAAAGGTTTCAGCACAGCTACTCAGCACTTACCAAACTCAGATATGTACCACTTATATAATTTAGGCTTCCACTGGTGGACCAAAATGTTTCTGTTCCGTGGCTTCAATGCAGTGTCACTGCAGAACCGGGCACTGACTTCTTGCCTAAGCAGAATTTGGCAGACATCACCTACTGGAAGCCTGGCTGGGAGCAGCTCCCTTACACAGCCCTTAAAAGGGGAGGAAAATGCGATGTGCTCTGTGCAGGAGTGGTTTGTAGCTGAGGAAGGTCTGAGGACAGCTACCCTGGTTGGGGAAGGCTCCCTTCCTTCCCTGCTCTTCTGGTAGATCTCTGCAAACCAGCTCGTCTGTGCAGGAATATGCAAGGGTTGCAACTCCAGAAAAAAAAAGGAGAGGAAGGCTTTAGCAACAGACTTTATTCACTTGATTGGCTTTGCTACCAGCACACAGATGCAGCATTTTGTGTAAGATGTGAAAGGGTGATGCCTCAGACCAGCTATCTGCTCCCCCAGCCCCCTTTATTTCTGTTGTTTTCTTCTCATCCTCTGCATCAAACTCTGTGCTCTAAAGCACCTAAGAGCACCCAGAGTACTGCATTAATGTTCTGTAACACAGATCTGTTGACACGGGGGATAAACCCCTTGGTTAGGCTTGCACTCCATGATGCCAAAGTGCAGCTTCAGCAGCTACAGGAGAATGGACAGGTCACTAGGTAACAAACAGCCTTTGCAGTTTCTCAAAACAGTGGTCACAGCCACAGGTGTTAGGAGCAAGCCCAAGCCGTGTGAGTAATGTATAATATAACAACATTTCAGCTGTAGCCCCTTTCCCCTCACAGCCGCAGGCAAAGAGCAGTGCTACAGTCTGTTCATGTACGTGAAAATCAGAAATTAAAATCAGGACACTCAAGGCAGCTTTTACTCTGACTTAGGTCACTGGGTTCACCTGTCTTTGAGTCTGCCTGCAGAACTGAGGCTCCTTTCGAACCTCCATGATTACAGAATTCAGCCATGCTCAGAGGAATATGCGGTTCAGATTTGCTCTGGAGCTTGAGTCTGAACAGTTTGTCTGGATGCTTTGCAGGGAATCTTTTCATGTACAAACTTGCCTAACTTTTGGCTTCACAATTCAAAAAAGGCACATTAAAGCCAAGAAAAAATTGTCATTGAACAAGAAGTGTTATTGATTTGAATATTTTTAATTTATTTTCTATTTCCCTGAGGCATTCTAAAGGTATTTCTTAGATTACTTTGAACTGATGCAGTATGCTGATGTTTCTAGCAGGCAGGTAAAACTGACAAGTACTGAAAACCACAGGAACTTGATTTATTTATTTAAATGGTGACTAGATTGTGACTGGATAGTCAATAGTGATGAAGAAGTGGTGAAGAGATTTTAATTATGAAGTTAATGCATTAACTCCCCAACTGCTTTTTTCTGCTTTCCCATAGGATCTATCTGTTGTCCTTGTCACTGTGAATAATTTGAATGTCTAATATAAGTGCCATATCCCATACAAAAAGTTATTAATGTGTTTTTATTTTCATCACAGAACCTAAAGAGGATGAAGCAGAGCTATCTGACGATGGTAAGAAGTGCATGTTTTAAACAGGACAAATGCAAATCTGTGTTCTTCATTCACATTTTCTGGAGGTTTTTAATCATGGTCCTTAATGCTTATTTGTAGAGGGGAAAGAAACAGAGGTCGAATATCGGACGGTTACGATCAACACTGAACAGAAGGTGTCAGACGTCTATAACATCGAAGAAAGACTGGGATCGTAAGTACTGGGCTGTGCTTTTGAAGTCAGTTTTCAAGGCTAGCAGCCAGTTGTAAAGATAATGTGCCTTTATTCTTTGTCTTGCACTTTCAGCATCCCAGTTGAGCTCCTTTGTGGTGGTAAAAATAGATTTTAACATACGTTGGCCTCCACTCCATAAAGATCTTTTGCGCCTATTAGCTGATAATTTTAAATAGGCACTACATGTATTTCTGTCAAAGAAAATGGAGCCCACAGATGAACAAAGCTAGAGGATTCATTAGTTTTTCAGTATCCTAAAAGCTATCTGAAAAAAAAAAAAGGTACACATTGTGTACTTGCATTTCCATTAAATCCATTAGTGGTAATAAGATTATCCTGCCCACGGGCTGGAATCTCTGTTGACAGCGGCCATAATCCCAGGAGCATTAATACTATTGCTGAGAGAAGGTCAGAGATTAGTCTAGCTGTGTTTCTCAGGGCCCCAGCTCGTGGTGGTGTGAACTGCAGGCCATGATAATCTTTCAGTGGTTGGTGCTGAAGGCCAGGGGATCCCCTGTGCTGCCAAGAACAAATCCTGAGGAGCGTAACACAGAGGTAGAATTGCATGTTACAGCAAAGGGAAATCATAGTACTGAAGCATTTGAGCATTCAGGTTCTGATTCCACAAAAATCCTGTACCTGAGATGTCACATCTGCTGCCCCTTCAGAGGTGTATGACATACAGAAAACCGTGTCCAGAAAGACCTAAATTAAAGCCTGGTAGGAGTCACAATTTTTGAACCCTCCTATATAAGACTTTTTAACTGGAATGGCAAAGTATCTCTAAACGTAATATTCATTCAAAAGTTCTTGCAGATCAGTATAGAATAATACTTGGTACTAAGACATTTTTATTTCATAATCCAAGTGTTTTGCTGGAATATTTAGTAGATTGTTCTGCTGAAATATTTAGTAAATCATTGCTATTTGTGGTAGCCCATATAGTGTAAAAACATTTTATGAAAAGTTTTATATTTTCAGGGGAAAATTTGGACAAGTCTTCAGGCTTGTTGAAAAGAAGACTGGAAAAGTTTGGGCAGGAAAATTTTTCAAAGCCTATTCTGCTAAGGAAAAAGAAAACATAAGGGATGAAATCAGCATCATGAACTGCCTGCATCATCCAAAACTTGTCCAATGTGTAGATGCCTTTGAAGAAAAAGCCAACATTGTTATGGTTTTGGAAATGTAAGTACAAAGCAGAACACACTAACAAAGTTAATAATGTTGAAAATAATTGTGTGTACAAAAGTAGCAACTTACAGACACAGGACTGTCAAACGCTTCAGGATTTGCAGGGCCTGGATGGTTTTCAGATCTTGCAAGTTTTTCCAATTATTTATCCATCTTGTTTAAAGTGTGTAAGTGAATCGGTGTCAATCTTTGAAAAATCAGTCAAAATGCGCTACAGTTGTTATTGTCTACTTTGCTTGTTTCTTAAAGTAAATATGGTGGGGTTTTGCAGCCTTACTCCTACTGCCCAGGTAGGAGAGGTGAGAACAGAGCTGCATTTTGGACTTTCATTTAGAACTTAAAATGTGTTTAAGGAGAACTTTTTTTTTTACTTAAGGCAGTTCTAAATGTGTTGAACAGTCTGCACAAACAATAATGGCAAACATGACCAATGTTTACATCATGCATAATGCACCTGCTTAGTGTGAATCCCATACTTGTGGCAGTACCAGCTGGAAAGAAAATTAAATCCTGATCTGTGCTGATGTTTTTCCCAAAAAGTTACTTTGGTTACAGTTCTGCTGCCACATCGACTTCATGTGCTTTCTGATGCAAGGAAAAGCAAGTTTTTTTGCTGGCTGGGAGTTCTAAGTAAGGTAAAAATTGTTTGAGGGAAAAGAGACTGTATGTCTATTTTGCTTGCTTGGCACTTGCTTAGATTATGTGCAAACTACTACTGCACTGGCATATTTCAGAGATTGGATTTTACAACCCTGGAACTTATGTGCAGGAAGGTGTTTTTATTTTTAAATTGAGCAGTTGAGCAAACTGACGATGGCAAAGGGAGGGGAACCTACTTAGCTTGGAACTGAGAGCTGGCAGACCTAATGGAAAACAGGGAGATGTATAAAGAGTCTGGAATAGCATATGGCTTTACACTCCATTAGTTCCCCCCTGACAGCAAAGGGGTTTTACTCTGTAAAAATGTAGAAAACTGCAATCAAATTTAAAGCAGTTTTACTACCCAGCCTCACCAGGATGTGGTTTTAGTTTGGGGTGGCCACCTTTTCTGGTTTTTGAGCCCCCCCTGACATTTCCATTGTGTCCAGCAGCAGCAGAGCAGGTCTGGGCAATGGGGTGCTCGTGTGGCACCTCGTGTCGGGTGACTCGGGAGCCTCTCTGCTGTCATCTTACCCAGCTGACACAATCCCAGCCCAGCAACTGCACCTGTATTGATGAAGAGCCTCCAAGGGATCATTTCTGCTGTAGCTATTAATATAATATTTCTTTGCATATCAAAGAAGTTGTAGGAAATACCTTTAAAAGTTCTTATAATCCGAGTTGTTTGTTTCATTTCCATCAGAGTTTAAATGCATGAATTTAAAATAAATCAAGCTCACTTGCTGTCAGTCTCCTTCAAATCAGATTTTAGCAGTGACTGGCATTTAGGAGCTCCCCTTCTATTCAAATTGATGAGATTTGAAAAATCTTTGCTTTTTCTTCCTAATATTTATTCTAAATTGCTCATTTTAATTTTATTCCCATACCTTTCCTGGAACCTTTTAAACTTCACACTCTCTGCTTTTAATATTTCTCATTACACTATTTTATATGGTTTTATTTCATATTCAAAATAAAATCAGATTTTTTTTTTTTATTACTTTTAAATTAAACACTATAATGATGTGCTCTTGCCTGGAAACCTTTCCATCTAACATTTACTGGAAGTCAGAGGCAAATCTCGGGTATTTCCTTTTCAAATACAGGAACATATTGGTTCCACCATAAGAATCTCAGTGGAAAAAGTAAATCTGAAAATATTAGCATATTGTCACTTTCATGCAGTATATGGGGGCTAAGTGCCTCAAAGTTTTATATACTTCAGATTGTCAGTTTTTTATATAGATCAAAAGGAGATCATTGTATGTATTGCAAATTAAAATTATTGGAGCAAAATCCCAGCACTAAGTTCATCCATTTGATGTGATTTAAGTTAGCACAAGTTACTTGGTTTTTTTTTTCTTTTTTTCTAAGTTAGATTTTTAAAAATCCAGTTGAGTATTTGCCTTGGCAACTCCAAGGTAGAGTCTTCTCACTGTTCCTACTGGTTTTAGATGTGTATTCTGTGATTCCATAGATAAGAATATTTTCCTATATGATTCATGTAGAGAAGACTGAAAAGAGGAGAATCCAGAAAAGATAGAGATTTGGATTATGAACTAGTTGTGACTGAACAAAGCCAACTTCTCCTCCTGTGTATGTGTAGAACCTCATCCACGCTGACTTTATTCAGCTTCCTAACCTGGCAAAATTCAAACTGGATTTGGCTCCTGATATAAATGTAGCAGTATTCATCCCATAAATGCATTGCAGTTTAATCTACCATTGCTACCAGAGTGTTGAGAGCTCCCAAGGTAAAAACAGCAGGCAGATGTACTAACAGTGGTTCATTTACGAAAATATGCTAAGAAGTGGTGCTTGAGACAATGGTACAATTTCTGAAAAGTTTTCCCTTTAGGGATATGAAAAGGGTGGCACTTTTATAGTGCAAATAAGTCGTCACTATCTGTGTTAAACAGCCAGAAACAAGTGGTGCATTTTAGTATGAGGATGATTATCATTTGGAGTTGCAAAGTACTCCAGATATAAACATTTTGCCTGCAGATGTTTTCATAAACACCCATACTGGTTTATGTCTTAGCAAAGCAACAGCACACTAGATCCCCTGAATGTTTATTCAACAGGTCTGGCAATACTATTGCTTTGTGTTACAAATGTGCTCTAATCCAACATAACCTCTCAGTTTGTCAAGCACAGGCTCTTCTTACTATTTCCATATTCATAGGAAACCACAATAGCATTTCTAATTACATCTTTTCTGAAATTTTATAGCCAAAGCAAGAAATGCATCCAGAACTTCAGATGTTTCAAATTCAGTTTGGTACAAGAGGGATATAATCATGTGTCTGGCAACCAGCAAACATGGCAAGGCTGCTTTTCAGTTGTGTGTTTTCCTTCTGTAACTGAAATGTGCAATTGCATTTGGCAATAACCATGAACGCTGCAAAATATTAAACCATATAAAGACCACGGTGTGTTTAATTTCTAAAGGCAAAGCTGCTCTTCACTATGTGCTCCTTTCTTTATGGGTCATTCACCCGCAGGATAAGAAAAAAGCATTTCCCATCTTTGGATGCAAGCAGATAAACCAGTTGAGTGATTACTCCAAATTTTAAAAAATAAAATAAAATCAACAAAAAAATCCCATAGAAGCAAAACAAAACACAAACTCAAACAAAAAGAGAACAAAAAAATTCACCAAACCAAATAAGCCAAAAGTCAAATTACGCTTTATTAAATCTAGGTTAAAAATGTCCCACTTCAGTTGCACGAACAGTTCAATCCAGGAGATGCTACCCTGGAAAGACCAATTATGTCACATCCTAAATTAGCATAAAAATGGAATTGACCTACAAGGAGTGTGATGAGGGCTCAGCTAAAAATACCAACACAGAAAGTGTTGTGGGTTATATCCTTCTCCTGTCATAGCTGAGGAGGAAATTCCCTCTGAGCTCACTTGGGTCAGTAATTTACCCTTTGAGCTTTGCATTCCAGTTAACCATATCATCGAAATTCTTCCTCCCTCAGCCTTTATCACTCTCAATCTAACTTCTTCCTGAATTTTTGCTCAACTGCTTGCAGTTTTGTCTTCTTTCCCTGGGACCCATTCCATGTATTTTAGTTTCTTTTCTCAATTATGTTGCCTGCATTGGTGCACTGATGGATCACAGGAGGGAAGGAAGAAGTGGGAAGTGTGTGTTGGAGTCGGGAATCTCTGTATTGCTGGTAAAAAAAAGCCTGATTATTCCCCAAATGAATATGTTACAGAAGTCTCTTTTTATTCTGTCTTTCTTAGGGTTTCTGGAGGAGAACTCTTTGAACGAATCATTGACGAAGACTTCGAACTGACAGAGAGAGAGTGCATTAAATATATGAAGCAGATTTCAGAAGGAGTTCAATACATTCATAAGCAGGGTATTGTCCACTTGGATTTGAAGCCAGAAAATATTATGTGTGTCAACAAGACTGGTACAAGTATCAAACTCATTGACTTTGGACTCGCAAGAAGATTAGGTAATGAATTCTCTGCCTATTTCAGTATCACAGGGGGAAAGGGCAGGACGAACAGTAATTCATGCTACCTATTATATGGAGATTAAATAAATGTTTCCTATAAATATTTTTGTTTTAGGAAAAAATAGAAAAAATAGAAAAGGAAGACATTCAAGAATGAGAGCAGGGCACCTCATTTTCAAGAGGAGTTTGCAGTGAGGTGTATAGAATCTACCTGTCTGTTTCTGCAGCAGGGTGTCCCTGTAGATTCCACCTAAAATACACAGTAACATTAATATTAAAAAATATTTACATTTGGTGCCATTAAGCACTAACTCTCTAACTAAATACTTCATGAATACTACAAATCCTTGAAACTTTTTTAACAGCAGAAATTAAGGTGATGCTTAGAAGCCTTTCAGATAATTACAGTAATTTTATATTTTGCTGTAATTTTTATCATTTCTTATCTCAAGCAGCAGGATATTGTCATGCATGTTAAACATCAGAGGAATTCTATAAAGAGCTGCATAATAGCACTACTTAAAAATAATGCAGCAGGGGGAAATTCCATTTGACAATTCCTTCCTCTTCCTGAGTTGCTTTTTAGCTGCTTTCTATCATTCATTTTGGTCTAAGTTTCCAACATGCCCAGCAATTTGAAAGCCAAAGGCTTTCAAAGGTTCTTGTCTTCATATTGTTCAGCTCTAAAAAGCAGCCCTTCAGTTGTATTTTCAGTGTTAAACACTACCAACATCCCACACTGATCTTTTTTCATCATGTATTTTCACAAAAGAAATAAAAAACATTCCAGGAAGTAAAAGGAACAAAAATAGTTTATGAACCTGTTACACTGGGAGAGCTTAGATTTGTGGCTCTCCTGACCCATTAATTAATTGATTGGGATAACTTATATGAATTCCTACTCTCTGTACAGAGTCCACAGCTGGATTCTTACTTGAAATCTTTTGCCTTCCCTCTTTGAAAAGGTATTAATTTTTTTAAAAAAATACTTATTAAAAAGTAAATAATTATTTTTGGGAGAGTATGGTGAATTACTACCACCTACCTTTTGTTATCTGCCTAAATGCAGCTCATCCTGCTTCTTTTGACACTTCAGTAACAGACTACTGCATTCCCAAGAATATAATTTTACTAAAACAAACCAGGAATGGTTTGTTGAATGAATAAGGGAAAAGAAGACTGCTTTGAAGCATGTTAGATGATGATCTGCTCCAAAAGTGTATTTAATGAATCCTGGTCCCATGGACATGTTAACTCAGAGATAAGAATGTTTATTTTATTCATTAAAAAAAGAGCTAACTGCCATTTCTGTTCCTTCATCAATATAGAGACAGTAGTGTTTTGGGAATATAAACTGATTTAGTCCTTGTTCAGGACACATGAACTGTTAACTAAGTTCAGTGTTGATGTTTTTGTGTGAGAGGTGTGGGAAAGATTTCAGCCCATGATGTTCCAGCTGTCAGCCTGCAAACTGTACATTTACTGCTGCACTGAGTGGATTTCATCAACAAGAGATATAAAGTAAACACAGAATGGCCTTTTTATAGAAAGTTCTTCAGCTACCTTTGTAACTTCAGACCACAGTTAAACCCATGCTTAGCAAACAGAAAATCCTATTTTCAGTAGCCTGTTCATATCCATCAGCTTTCCCACTTTTCTGTCAATCTTGTGGCAGTGCATGGCGTGGCTGACACCAGCTTGTGAGCTGCTCTAAAATCAGTAAACTCCAGATAACTTCCCTCAGTGCAGAAGAATGAGAGCTGTGGGCACTAATGCTGATTCTGATTTTACAGTGCTGTACATTCGTTTGGCTTAATATGCTGCTAATTCTTGCCAGGTTCCATTGTAGGTATTTCTGTCCATCAGCCTGCCATGCTGGGGAACTCCATCGTGGGTGGCATTCCCTAGGAAGAGAAAGGGCCTTTCCTTCCATGTCCAGCAAGCATCAGCACTGTTTTAATTGCCAAAAACAATTGTAACATTTCAGTTGAGATGGTTTCCAAGAGTAGAAAACAACTTTTACTGTTTCATTTACTTAAAAAAATAGCTAAAAACACTTTGCACTAATGCCACTTGTCTTATGTGGAGCACTGAGGGTACATTCCTCCTCCTTGTGTTCCTTCAAACTTTGTGACTTTGAAATTGGCTGTCAAATTCACTCTGGCATTGATAGATGTGGGATTGGAGCCCTCATCCTACAGACCTGACCCTGACTGAGCAGAAACTGCTCAGCCAAGGGATTGCTGAAGGGAGCAGTGGCTGATTCTGCACTTCAACTTCTGAGATTTAACTTTTAGTAACTACTGCAAACTAGTGGCTCCAAATATTCAGTGTTTTGATCAGTTTTAAAGATATTAGGATCAGCTCCTTCTGCAGTCATCTTCTGCAGCTAATTAGTTCTCTTGCACGGTCAGGAAATACCAAAGCTGCAGTGGGATATTTTCCTGACCTTTTTTGGTGTGCTGAGGAACACATGTAGAAAATTGTTTAAGATAAACTTCTTGAGGAGAAAAGAGAATGGTTTTTGAGTACTGTAAAGATATATTTTTTAATCAGTTGATTATACACAGTGTCAGCAACAGTTTGCAGCTAGCTTGTCAGCTTTCTATCTGAACTAAGGGATATCCAAACACAGATCTTACTTGTGTACTAAGCTTGTAAACAACTGGGTAAAGACTTGACATATTACTGCATTGAAAGAGTCTTACTCTTTTCCTTTCTTTTATCTTGTATACACAGAAAATGCTGTGTCAGTTGTTTCACACTATGCTTGCACTCAAATGCCAGATTTTCAAAAAAACTCCCTTTCTCTCCATTTCTCTGACCTGTGGGCAGCCCATTTCATACACCAGCCTTCTGCCTACACAGTTGCTCATGGCAGTTTACACAGTGCACAGAAAAGCCTCCAAACTTGGATGTGAAAATCTGAGCCTGAGATTTGGATGATCGTGATGAAGCTTTTAGAAAATAGGTTCATTGTGATAAATTTCAGTAATTTCTTGTAAGGACAGTTTAAAAAAAAAATGAAAAATAAGTGCTGACTTTAAAATGAAGGTGGATGGTAAAATGGGATCTTGGGCTTCTGATGGCACTTTGGAAAGAAAAGTGATCTCTCACTTCTCATTGCCACTGTGGTGAACACACTGCCCTTCTTTTAGGCTAAGTTATTTTAGATGCCATGTTAGAAAAAATATCCTATGTTTTGGAGTAAGAAAACTCTGGTTATGTGACTGTAGTGATATTGTGGAATACATTTTAAATGTGCTTTTTAAAGGATAGTCAGAGAGCAGGAGGGTTTTGGTGTTGGTGAGCTTGCATGGGAGGATCTGGGTTATTTTCCGCAGCCGTTTCAGAGTAAGGAGGTCTGTTTCTGTCTCTAAAAATGGTGGGAGCAGGGGAAACATGTGAAAATGAGTTTTCTGCAATTAATTTACTATAACAACACCTGAACAGAACAAAAAAGGGTGTCACAGCATTTAAAATGGGAAACTGGCACAACTGCAAGTGAATTGTGGTTGTGCTCTGAAGTTGCCTCAAGCATGGTGTTCAATCATTAAGCAAGTTATTAACCCTATATATGTTTCAGATTTCATTTGGTAAATTGGGGATTTGTCTACCTCAAAAGAGCATTCGCTCAGGTGCTTGATTACATTTCATGAAATGCCTCAAGAGCTTTCAATGCAGCTAAGTTTGGGAGTGGAGTCTTTACTGGGATTAGTATTTATGTTGTAAAACTTGGTAAATTAAGTTCTGGTAAATAAAAATATTCTATTCAGATTCAATGCCATGGACAGGCTGCTTCTTTTGTAGACTCTGCAAAACTTTGATCTGCTGTTTGAGGATTTTTTAGCTTTTCTCTTGATTATAGAGCTGCAAATCCCTGTACTCTTAAAAGGTAATCTTAACAGACGCAGGACTGGAATGTGTTACATCTGTTTGCCTTCCCATCCATATCTGTTTTGTTTAGATGGTAAATCTCTTTGGGAGAGCAATGGTTCCTCACTAGGACATTCTACTGTGCCTAATCTGGCTGCTGCTCTTGCACAAAAGATAAACCTAATGCAATGAATCTCACTTAAAGCATACACTGATGGTTCAGGCAGATAAGCACTCTGGACATGAGTTTCTCAACCTAAATCCAAGCCTGTTTCACGTCAGACACAATTTATATTCTGACTTTTTTTATTTTTACAATACAATTCTAATATTAGGAGGTGGGGTTTTTTTACCCTCAATCCCTAGTTTTCTTTCTTCCTGACCTTGCTTATTCTTTTCTTCTTCCCATCAGATTTAGAACAAGAATTGATAAAAATGAGCCTGCTGACATTTGCCTAAGAATCTCTAATTTAATGACTCTGTGTTTCACACTACACTGGAGGGTAGACATCGCACTCACACACTGGCAGCATAATCTTGCAGTAATTGGTTATGAACAGGTTTTTCTCTTACTTCCATCACTGTATCTTCCAGCAGGGCAATACTGGTGGGTCAGCACAGGAACAATGTCAAGCCAGTTCATGTGTTTCATGACCTCATTCTTTCAGTTCATATTGGTAGCAGTAGCTTCACTGTAAATCATTTTAAAAGCATCCACAGAGTGTTTAAGCAGAGCAAATCTAGAATACCTGTGCTACAGGCCAGCTGAATAAAAATTTGGAGCAGCTGGTGACTGACAGCTGGTGATTTGGGCTTCCCCTTCACCCCAGGTGTACTTGTAGGCAGGTTTTGACAGCATGCCCAAGTCCAGTTTTACCTGTGAAGTAATGATCTGACTGGTGCACATCATCTGCTCCTCCTGTTGTTCACTGAGCCACTTCAAATTTAAGAGGCATGCAAGCCACTGTTGATTTTCTTTCCTGTTTACACTAGAAGAAAATGTGTTGGATCATTATTTCCTATTGTTATAATTTGAGCACTACTGGTTCTTTTTACCACAACGTGCAGAGCCCCAAGCTTTGATAAATATTCAATAATTTGTGAAAATTGTACCTTCTTTCTGACACTGGAATCCTGCAGTTCTCTTGTGCAACTGCTAAAGGGATGGAGGCTCAAAGACTTTTTTACTTTAGGACATACAAATCTGAATAAAGTATTGATGGCTCTCCTTTTTCACACATTTGGTCCTGTGGAATCTTCGTGCAATAGGAACCTTCTTATGTGCCTTACACAGTGCGTGTACTTGAGGATGCTTAATAAATAATTATTGCTAGACACCTATCAGCTAAGGAAACAGCAATTCAGGCATCATTTATTTCTTCTGATACGGATCTTTAACAAAATCACAAATGTTAGGGCAAATCCAGTTTTCCTGTTGTTGGACAATAAGTGTTTTGTAAAAATCTCCATGCAGCAGTTAATGGTTTTCTCATTCATTCTTCACAGAAAATGCAGGCTCTCTGAAAGTTCTCTTTGGGACACCCGAGTTTGTGGCTCCAGAAGTTATAAACTATGAACCTATTGGATACGAAACAGATATGTGGAGTATAGGAGTTATCTGCTACATTTTGTGAGTACTTTTCTATTCTTAAAATCACAAATCCTGACACTTGCTGAACATACAAAATTTTCATCAACTTCTGAAGTTTTCAGGCCTTCTGTGTTGTAACAGCAGCTCCAGCACGTTTAATAAAACTTTGCTGTTCTTTGAAGGGTGCAATTGTTAAACTGCAGAACTGGCAGTTCTGGAAATTCAACTGTTTGGTGTTGTATCTCTTACATCATAAACCAGCAATGCTTCATCTCATTTAAAAAGACAATGTGACTGTTTTATTATTTACTTCAAACCATTTTTCCTTTCCGGATGTTAAAGAGAAATATTTGGGCATGCACTAATAACCAGTAATTTCCATTCTTTTATTCCATGAGAGAAAAATTTGTGAAACTTTGGGGTCTCGTGGGACATGCTGAAGTATCCCAGCATTACCATATCTGTTCACAGTGCATTTTATTTTATTACCAAGCACAAACCACTGTATAAATACATTTTATAAGCAGCATAGATTAAGCTTGTGGAAACAGTTTAGAGGATGGTTGGCTGCAGCTCTTGGTTACATATTTCAGCATTAGATTTGATTTTTATATATGATTTGATACAGCATTCTTATAAACATCAGTGAGTCTAGAGAAATGTATATGGAAATAATATCTCCATGCCTAGACCAGCAAGTGGTTTTCTTCCAGCAGTGATTTTACACATTCGATGCCATATAAACGAGTGAAAAGAGAAGCTCAGATTCTTTCTCCCTTATTCCAGCTTCAGTAGTAAGTCAGTGGCAGAACTGTTTTGCTGTGGTTCTTCTAAGAGACTCCTCTCAATGCCTTTCTTCTTTATGAAAGAGTCCCCTCTGCCCTGGCTATGTGGCTCTGTGACACCTGCAGTGCAGCGTTGTTCGCCTCCGTTTTACTCAGTCGTTCTGCTCTCCTGCTTTTCTCATGAGCCTGCACTTGCTCACGCTCTTCTCATTTCCAAACTAAGCAACACAATTTCCTTACTTGGCCTATGCAAAAGCTACCACATCAACTCCCTCTTACTCCCAACAAAGACTCGGAATATTTCTGTTATCTTTAGTTTCAGATGTGAAGCGCGCTCCACCCTTCAAGGTCACTTCGCTCTGCCGATTTATTTACAGGACTTCTATTTTCCGTTCTCTCCCAAGCGCTTCTCAGCGGATCTGGAGAGCCGCTTTGTCTGTGTGTCCCGCAGCCCACCCAGGCAGCAGCGCGGTGCCAGCGGCCGTGCCCCGGTGCGGCAGCGCCGCCTGCAGCCCGCCCGGCCTCCGCCACCGCTTCTTGCCATTTACCGGCGGCCCCGGCTGAGCAGCGAGGCACGAGTCGGTGCTGGCACCGAGTGTTCCCGGCAAATACAGCCAGGGCTGCCGCTCCGGCGGCGTCGGCTGAGACAAAGCGAAGGGAACAAGCGGGGAAAAGAAGACGCGTCTTGCCAAAGACCGGTCTGCTTCTTCCCGCTTTCTCTGCGCCAAGCAGGATATTTGGATGTTGTACCGTTCGGCTGAAGGGCTTGGGTGGTGTTACACTCGTTCAGCCGATCGGATATGCCTTGTGAAATATATTATGACGTTACTTGTTCGCTAAGGTATATTTAAGCTCATTTAACCCTTCAAGGGGTCGTGAGGGGAAATCTGTATTACCGAAACACAGTGGAAAATATTTCTTTTGATGCATCGCTATTGCCACAATAATAATTAGCAGTGATAATCGGCTTTTGTCTTTCTTGCCATAAGAATAAAGTAGTAGAAGTTAGGGAGGACCCGTGAGTCATCACTTGGACTTTACCTCTCCACCCCAGACTGACAGAGGTTCTCAATCTGTCTTAACTTTCTTACAGCCCAGCTATTTTTATGGGCTCACATCTATGAGCCATCATCCAAAATGAACTATCACATCATCATTACAGAATGCAAATAAAAGTCATTGAGAGCTGCATCTCTCTTTAGTTGCAGTTCTGCTTTCCCATTTTGATTGTAAGCTCAGAACTGCCAAATCTCACGCCCGAAGTGCAAGACGCACTCACTTGGTCTCACACACCATCACTGTGCTCGTACCTGGGCATGTGCATCCCCTCTTCCCTGCAGCAGGAGTGGGGCCATGCAGGCAGAGGAGAGCTCCTGAGGACCTAAGGGCAGCTCTGCCAAAGCTGCTGTGCCCATTAGCCATCCCAAGGGAAACAGCAGGGAACAGCATCACTTGACAGAACACCCGCCTAGGAAGTGACTGTGTTTCCATGATGTGCTGCACAACAATGAATGCAAACTGGCTTTAGCAGAGAGCTGCTGAAGTGATCTCTGTAACTGAAGGGTCTTCTCTGCAGAAGAATAAATGGTTGGGACGTAATCTTAAGTAGGAAGCAGAGTGACAGCACTCCTTCAAAACCCTGCAGCAAAACGTCTCCCCAGCCCTCTGCTATGCAGATGTAAGTACAGATATTGCACTCCCTGCTGGGATACTGCATCTGTCTTCCTTATGGCATGACTGATTTAATTCCATCCTGCAGCTCATGGGTTCCCTTTTTACATTTCTAAACTACATATTAAATCCTTTTAATCTTCCTGGATAACTTACTCAGTCCTGTCTCTTCATCTGTCTTTGTTCTTCCTTAAATTTCCGTTTGTATTCTCCACCTCATGCTTTTATCTTCCACTTTTTTCTTGTACTCTGTCCTGTTCTGCATCACAGTACTGTTCCACATACTTAAGTTGATCTATTGCCTTTGAAATAACAGGCCACAAATATTATAGCTTGTGTATATCATCTCCATTTATGTCTATTTCAGTGTTTCTTCCTGCATTTACAATAATCTTTATCTAATGAAGGTTAAACCTCCTGAATTCTTTCCAGCTCTTTCTGTTCCATTTATTCTTCTGGGCATTGCTGAATTAGCATGTTTTTTCTACTTCTAGGTATTTTCTGATGATGAATTTGGGTAGTCATTGTTTTGAATATTTAGTAATCTGAAACAATTTCAGATTTTTATTTCAAACCAAATTTTAGTCTAAGGTTTCAGCACTGCATGGGTGTACAGTTGAATGTGGATTGCCTTTTTCATTCTGGTGCCACAGGATCCGAGTAGTTTCAGGGATGAATTGTCTGTGACTGATTCAAACCCCTGCTTGTGTTCCAATAGTTCTCCTGGCTTTATTGGTGCCAGGCTGTGTTTAACTTTTCAGCATAGTTGATCTCTGTAAATTAAACATTTTTAATAAACTTTATCTTAGGCTGTGTTTTAATTTCACATTTGATCTTGCTGTATACTCTTTTCCTTCAGAACCTTCCTAAGAGCACACAGCTTGATTCTTCAGACATTTCCTTTGCCTTTTATCCATTGAGTTGTTCATCACTGCTGTTCCCCCTCCCTTGTCTGGCAGTTTGGGTTGGTTGAAAGGTCTTTCAGCATCATTCATCTTTTGGGTGTTCTGGCTTGGAACCTGGATAAAGGAAGGCACAGTTGGCTTACACGTGGCTTCGTGTCATGCTAAAAATTTATATCTCTTTATATTAAAGATGTGAGAGCACTCCTTGTTCTTTCCTTAAACCAACTTAGGAAGGCTTTAATGTCAGACTGTACCACTAAAAAGAAAATGTTTTATTTTCTCAGTGGAACTGGCAGACTGTAGTTCCTCATTAATCCACTGGGCATGTGAAACAAGAACAGCAATAACACTCCTGCTTCAGCAATGAGCTGTCTTCCTTGGGCTCAGTGGTCTGCTTCTTCCAGGGAGGACCGTTGTGGGCTAAGTGTCCCATGGATACATGTCCCCAGCAAAGTATCCTCAGACTATCTGCTTTAGTTCACTTGAAAAAGAATTAATTCTCTACATGATCTCTGGGGTGCAGGTGTCATCATCACATGCTTATTTGACGTGCCCTGCACAGGTTTATCAGAAGCAGACACAAGACCTGTTTGTACTGAGATGGGTTACTTTTTTTTGTGCTGCCAGTGCAAGGCAAAGCCTGTAAGGAGGAACTGAGTGCCAGCAGCCCCAGGCAGCTGGTGCTGCAAGCACTGCTTGCAGAGGAACGCTCACCCTTTGAGACAAGCAGCAAAGCTATCTTCCCTGCATTAGTGGAAGTCTTAATGCAAAGATTTCCAGTTGAAATGCCAAGGTGTTTCCTACATAGGCAATGAAATTTGCATCTACATTGGACCCTTTTCATCTTAACATTTCTGAGTCTGCACTCACAGCTTTGTCAGAACAGACCAATAAATGTTAAGGAACTCCTAGAGGATAAAATACATTTCTTCTTTATTTAGAAGTGGAAACTGCGAAAGATTTTCTAAACAAATGGTTCTTAACATGCCAGGAAGATGCCTGGTAAAGTAGCTGGAAAAATGTTAACAGTAAACAACAGCCTGCTGCTTGTCTAAGAGTAACTCCACAGTGTAAGCTCAGTGTTAATTTTCTGGAGCAGTAGCTCATCTTTATCACTTCAGCATTCCAAAAAGAAATTGTTTCCATTATCTGTCAAAAGAGTTGCTGGACCATTATTACTTTAAATGGCTATTAAGAAATGAACGGCCAAGACTTCGGTCAGTGAAATCTATGCTAGAGATAAAAATTTCTGGCTATAATCTATGCTAGTTGCTGGATTTTGTTTTCTGACTATAGACAAGGATCTAGTTCTCCTTAGAAGTATTCCACAACAAGGCAACTGATTCACAGTGTAAAACTGTAGTGGAGAGAGAAAATGATTTGAGCTTTGTAAATCTACAACAGCACATTCAGAAATTCAAAAATAGGTTCATTGAAATGTTTGAATGGGCACTGTTACACTGTTGTTCAGGAATGACAAAGCGAGTGGAGGCTTAACTGAGACCCACCTGGTAATTTACCAAATGCATGGGATCTAGCAATCCTACCACATCATTTAAAATTTTATCAGATAATTCTGTCATACAATTCTAAAATAAAAACAAAACAAAACAAAAAACCAGCCAAATACACACACACAAAAACAACAACCAAAGAATTTTTTTCCTTCTCTAATCTTCTCTTCCTTTAATTTATCCTCACCCTTCAAAAGCTGTGTGGGACCTGCAGTAGAAGCACTGCCTCTCAAAGCACCATGGAGCAGTGGTATTTACACAGCAATGTCCTGTACCTATAGCAGGTTTTTTAGTATGCATATGATCTCTCACTACTGCAGCTTTAACCTCTGGAAACAGGCCAAAATCTCGTCCCATGTAGTGCAAGAGCTGCACAGCACTATTTGTGGTAATACTGTGCAGAGGTCACCTCTGTCATACTTCCATCAGGTATTGAAGGGAAATGGGATTGTTACTGCTCTGGCTGCAGAGGTGTGTCTTCTGGAGGTTAACTGGATGAAGAGAAAATGTGCATCCCCTCTTCTGACAATGAGCTAAAGGAATACTTCACAGACCTGTCCTTGTATAAGCTGCTGGCCTGGCTGAGACTCTTGTTATTACCACAAGGTAAAATAAACGAGACAAAGCAGTCAGTGTGTGGAACCCAGCATCAGAACTGCGGTCTGCACGAGATCTTTTTCACTTGCTAAAACATTATGGAGAACACTGTCATAACTGAGCAAATGTTCAGCTGTGGGAGAGAAGCTGGGTTTAAGATCCTGCAGGAATGCTTTGTGATTCCAGGACAGATTCCCGTGCCTCCTGGCTGTACCTGGCTGTGAGGGCTGGAGGGGGTGTGGGCAGAGCAGAGCCTGCCTGAGCCTGTGCCAGCTCTGCAGTCCTGTTCTGTCAGGCATAAACCTTCCCCTCCAATAAAGTAAGTGTCTGACATGAAACAGTCATGGTAAAGTTGCTTTATGGGAGAATTTTTGGTATATTCATTTTTCAGCTTTTGGTAACTTGTGCCTATTGTATCTTCGTAAATTTATGGTTTATGCCACCTCACACATTTACAAAGTCAGAATTCACTGTTGCATTCGAGTGCACCACATATAATGGAAAGTAAGACAGCAAATACATTCTGTTCTGATTTACCTTGTTCTGCCTGAGAATAAACAAACCTTTTATCTTCAGCTCATGCATTATTACTGTGAAGTTTCTGAAGTATACGTGTAAGATTCTAGACTCTGCTGTACTGCACACAACTTCCAGAAATGGTAAAAGATTTAGTGTCTGGTCTGTGTGAGACTTCAAAGAGTGTGTTTCTGCTTTGCTTATAAAATAAAATGAAATGCTTAGGAACAAATCAGATTTTGAATATAATAAGAGCCAAAAAAGAAGCAAACTAACTTTGAAGGAGATCATTCTAATATTATTAATCTAATAGCTCACTTTATTTGGCCCCAATCTTTTTTTTAACCAGTCTGTTCTGTGATATTCAGTGGCACCAAGATATTCATGTAGTATTATTTCCATGTAGTGTTTTCAGAACCCTAATAAGTTACAGTTATTTTTCTGTATTAAAAAGAAAGGAGTGGGACTGGTTAACACAATTGTACAGAGAAATCAAATATAGTCTGTAAAAATTAATGAAGAATAGGTTATTCTGTAAATTGTATGCCATGAGGACCTGGAAAAGTGAATTACTTGTAGTTCTAAGGAATAAGCAACTTTTCATCCCTAAGTTTTTACTGAAAGTGTGATATATACAGGCATCAAAAGTATCCAGATGCACAGTATAATAAAGGATAATGCTTGACTGGAGAAAGAGACTGCAAAAATGACACCATGATACTCTGTAATAGCCTTTCACTGGCAATTTATCAGTTATATTGTATAAAATGCCTTGTAAGCTCAACTTAGGTTATAAGAGAGCATTATTTCTATCTCATGCATCATCTTAACTGATGGAGAAGATAAAGACCAAATTACTTCTGAATGCATCTGCATAACTCCAGAGCCTGCAGTGATGCAGCACTGTTTTATCTGTCTATATAATTCAGGGTGGGTTTGTTTACAAAATAGCCCTGTGGATTTCATTATTTCATTATATATCTTTCTTCTGAATGGGGTCTCTCTGCAGGAGTAAATGGAATAAAATGTGCAAAAATGCCTTTGGATTGACAGTAAAGGCAGCAAAATCACCCTGAAACTAGATGACCTCCAGAAGTTTGTTCCAGCCCTAACAATTCTGTGATTCTGAGGAAATGCCAGGGGGAAAAAAATAATATTCCACTGAATTTGGTGTGAGAAATCCAGTATTATTTATGCAGAACTAGACAAGTCATTTAACAAACTACTTTACTCCAATTTCACCTAATTCTAATTCTCCTCAAAAAGATCTTGGGAAAAGAGAAGGAAACTAGAAAAATGTGCCTTTCAGTTTTGCTGGCAAAATTCCAGTTTCTTACGATAAGACTATCTGTAGTTTTGAGTCCTTTAAAATTCAATTAAGTTTTTAAAGCAAGCTTTTATTGATAAAGAACTGCAGAGCATGGGAGATGTCATACACGATTTTAACTTGCTCCTCCTGTAATTTGAAAACTGACCGTGGTTTGTTCTGTGTCTGTGTCTGTTCCCTCCCCAGGGTCAGCGGACTTTCTCCTTTCATGGGAGACAACGACAACGAAACCCTTGCCAATGTCACCTCAGCAACGTGGGACTTCGATGATGAGGCTTTCGATGAAATCTCTGACGATGCCAAGGACTTTATCAGCAATCTACTAAAGAAAGACATGAAGTAAAGCTGGACTTACTTGCTGCACTTTCTGTGTTTGGGCTTAGCTGGAGTTGCCACTGGTGTTTCCCAAAGTGGATCTCCACCCGGCCGCAGCACCTCTGGCCGTACTTGCCATGGAGCTGTGCGTGCCCGCCCGGCTGTGCGTGTGCAGCGCTCTGTTGCACTCACAGCGTGCAGGGGCTGAATGGAGCTCTTTGTGCTCTTCCCTCCCATCGGGAGAGGGGCACCCGGGCCTTTTGTGTGGCCACTCTGATCCCCGCTCTTGCGTGACACACATTCCTGCATGACACCTTCCGTCTTGCTCCAAATGCGGTGTAGTTCTGCCGTGTGGCGCTTTTAAGTGTGGTACCTCTGAGTGGGCTGCTTCCCTATAAGTGTAGTAATTGGGCAAAAAAACCAAATCAGAGTTGGAAGCACTGTTTGCAGAAGTGTCTGAGCAAACCAAGGAAAGGAAACATACTTCTTCCAATGAGTTTGCAAGTGGATGGATGGAGAACAGAGAGTTATTTACCTGTGCACCCTGAGCAAAGTGAAGAATAGGTGTGGCGAGAGATTTCTGTCCTGTTACATGTTCAGGAGGGTATTAAGTGGTGGGATGGTGAAATCTCTATAAGTGAAGGAAAGAAGACCTGGGACAGGGTTCTGCCAGCATGAAGCAGCTGAATCATTGTCATTGTGCCTCTGCTGTATGTGTCCCATGCCTAAAACATACACCTTTTCCTGCTTTGTTTTATAATGTTTTATTAACACTTAAAAATGCACGGGTTTCTCTCATAAATATCTACAGAAATTGTGAAAGTGAGCTTAAGAAGTTAGAGTGGCTGAGAAAGCAAAACCATGTGATCTTTATTGCTAAATTTAGGAAACAGAAAAATCAGCTCCCAGCAAAGAGAGCACAAAATAATGTTACAGCAAGTAGGTTCCTCTCTAGTTACTGGCAACACTGACTGGTCTTTTTATACAAAAACAGGAGTCGCTTAAACTGTACTCAATGTCTTCAGCATCCCTGGCTGCAAAAAGACACCAAAAACATGGAAGCCAAAAAACTTTCCAAAGATAGGATGAAGAAATACATGGCCAGAAGAAAATGGCAGGTAATGAAGAGGACATGGAATTGGGCTGAATAGCCTATTAAGTCTCTTTATTTTTAATGTTTATGATTCTGGGGAACACGTCACATCAGGAGGTTTCTGTTGCTGCTGAAATCTCTGGCATGGCCAGGGGGGGAATGCAGGACAGCAGGTCTGGTTCCTGCAGCTGAGCAGTAGGAGGGTGCACAGCTGCATATGGATTACACAGGATAATCCCATTTCAGGCTACTAAAAGGCGTATGAGCTCAAATATAGTTTTTTCTACTCTTCTGGGGGTACACCTCTCTCTCTTCCCTGCCCTCTCCAGGCAACTGAGAGCTGGGGGATTGTGTAATTCTTAACAAACCTGAATAGCTCAGGTAAAACTTACCTGCCTGGCCTCCCTAAATGTATTTTGTGGCAGTTTCATTCTACTAAGCCAAGAGTTCTGTGTTGTTGGAACCTCCCCAGCTTCCCATGCATTCAGTCAGACTGGTTTTCTGTGACATATTCAGTCTCCATGTTTTCTTTTTTCCTAATGCTGGAACTGGAGTAGCAGGTCTATCTGTGCCATGCTGATAGTTACAGGAGTTGCTGTGTGAATTCCTGGATCCTTTTGAGTAGCCTACAAAACGCTAATTTGTGTAAATCTACCTTATATTCCCTCTTATGTTCTACTTGTTTCTTGAAGTTCATGCAATACAAGTGTCTGTACTACAGCCCCCACAGTTTGAGCATATTTTAGTAGCCTGGTGGTTGATCCTGGTTCCTGTCAGAGGTCTGCTCCCATCATGCAGATGGTCCTTTCTCATTCATTTCATATCAGCTCGTTACCCATGTTGGATGAAATTCAGCCCAGCCCAGAAGGCTGTGGAGGGAGGCGTCCCCCACCAGAGTTCAGTTCCAGTTACGCAGGACGGGGCTTCTCTGCTGGCCCTCCTCTCGCACAGTGCTTTTTATCCGCAGCTAACAGAGACATTCATTTAGGTATGAGTTCATCAGGGGAAGTTTATATCTGCAACTAAATTTGGTAATTTAGTCCAGCCTGCTCTGTCTCTCCTAGAACAACAGAGCTATATATAAGCAGTTTGTCCACCAATTCCAGTGAGGTTTGCAGAGATCCCAGATAATTTGTCCGAAGCACGTTTGTTGCAGAAAATCACATGCCTGTTGGATTGGATTGATCAGAAGCCTTTTCTGTTATGTCTTAGAAAACAGGCCATGCTGTCCGAGCAATAGGAAGACTGTCGTCCATGGCAATGATTTCTGGTATGAGTGGGAGGAAGGCCTCTGGGAGCTCGCCTACCAGCCCTATAAATGCAGACAAAGCAGAGAATGAAGGTAAGGATTTTTTCTGCCCCATATTTTCACCTGTCTCTGAATGAATCCTACTAAAACTTTTAGCAAATTGCTAGAGACCAATCATTGAGTTGGATATTCCTGTGCTTGCTCTCTCTCTTTTCCTATTTTTTAAAGAAATCTGTCAAAAATTCACTGTTCTTACATTGTCCTGCTACTCAGAATGCTACAGTATAAGCACAGGCAGTAAAGTTTTTTCTTTTTAAAGCCAAAGAATTAAGGCAGATTTGTCAGCTGCACTTTCTCTGAGTTTGGGAATGCATGTTTATACAAAGATGACAGTGATGTATTGCCTTCTCATGCAAGCAAGCACTAAAGTATTAACACTTGCTGTAACCATGGCACACACCCTGCATTAACCATGCTCCTCAGACAGGGCATTTAAGGAAATGTCTGCGTTACTCCCGTACATCTCCAGGTGAAATGTGAATTAGTGGTGTGTAACTGTCAGAGGTGCAAATGTTTGACACTGCTGAAAATCAAGCAAGTAATTTTGACAAATCCACATAGACTGTGGGCCTGATACAAGTGGAACTCGTTTATCGCTCTGACTAGCAAAAGTCCAGCTTTGGTTAGAAATGAATTAAAGGGAAAAATACTGAGGATTTGTAGCATGGTGGTTCTGCACGTCCATTTCTTTCTATTTATGGCCTGAATCCTTGTCCAGCTGCACAAAGCTGGCACAAAGCTAAGCAGCCAGCGTCCTCGCTGTCTTGTTAGTCTGACAGAATTAAGTGAAATAAAAGATGCTTTCATTACCATCTGGTAATTAAAAACTAAAAAACATCTTTTGAGAACATGGCCTGTAAAATTGTTCGCTACCTCTTTGCTCTCCTCCAGATGCTTTCCTCGAAGAAGTGGCTGAAGAAAAGCCCCACGTAAAGCCATATTTTACTAAAAAAATCCTTGACATGGAAGTTGTGGAAGGAAGTGCTGCTAGATTTGACTGCAAAATTGAAGGTACTTTGAATAAGCCTGTTTCTTTCTTTCCTTCCTTTTCAGCTTTCCGCACTGGGAAATAGTTTCACTTTTTCAATTTTTATTTCTGTTAAAGGATTATTGTTGAGTTGGTGCCATTTTCCTTTATCAATACCTGCATGTCACAGCACAAATGTGTTGCAATAACAAATTATTTGGAGCTTGTTCTGGGCTTGCCATAGAACAGAAGTCTCCAGGAGTCCACATGAGAATCACTAATTTAGAATAGCCAGAGGGAACTGTCATTTGATTTTTGAGGGAACAGTAAAAGCAAGACGCAAAGTAGAAGCATAAATTCCAATAGAATACTCTAAGAGAGTGCCAGCCAGAGATCAAGAATTAGTAGGAGGTCAGTTGTCTGAAATGACAGACCAGCTTCAGGTCACCTCAAGATAACTTCAAGCTATACATACATTTTATTAAAGGCAAACAAGTCACGCAGGAGAAGTAAAGATAATATTCTTGTGCTGGTCACATAAGTCACATCTAGAAAATACTGTTCTGTTGTTTGGGGTTTTTTAACTTATGAGTTAAAACAAGAAGCCTCAGTTTGGAACATGCAAAGTGTAACTTTTTGAGAAGACACATAAGGAACATGGGCATGGTCAGCCCTAGAGTCTAAAAGCCAAGACCACTGGCACTTCTCCTGCAATGAGACTGAACCTTTTGTATCTCAGCTGTGAATGAAAACTAGAAATTCGGAAAGAAGATCTGTGAAAGCAAAATGGGTAGGGTCAGTACCGTTCTGCATGTGTACAAGTTAATTTATAATCTAAAAGTGAGGAAATCAGAAACTGCCTTGTCGACCTGCTTGTTTGTTTCTGTGCTCCCAGTCTTTCCCTGCCTGTGTTTCCTACCTCACAGTGGAGATGTGAGGATGGATTATTATTGCTGATGGATGCTCAGCGTGAGGGGTACATGCACAAGTACTGCATGGAATAAAACAGATGGATGTGCCACAGCTGATGTTCCAAACTTTGCAGTGCATTGCTGTAATGTTTACTGTGTATTAGGGATTCCTGCACTTTATTCTGCTCTGTGGGGAGTTATCCTCCTGTCCCAGTCCAGAACTTGGCTGAGACCACAAACCTTCAATTTGTTACAGCAGCCAAGAGTACTGTATAAGGGATTGTTCTGCAGCAGGCATTGTACAGGCTGCTCTGGAAGCTTAGCAGAGCCATTTGCTTCACAAAAGGCTCTGAAACTCCTGTTGAGATGCACAATTAAAATGTTTTTCTTAGACTTCCTCACTTACCCTAACAAACACAGAAAAGGGGAGTGCAATGTACAGGACAGGCTGGTTTGTAAGAAGCAGATTAGGAGGAATAAGATTCAGAATAGCCACAGCAAAGCAACCTGAGAAAGATATTAAATTGTAAAGCCAAAACAGCTTACCCTTGAAATTCTAAATCTTGCTGTTGGGAACTGTTGTCTCCAGAGAAGCTGCAGTGTAACGTGAGCCTCAGATGCACAGTCAGGAGCTCCCCACTGGCTGATGGCTACAGCACATAAAAAGCTGTCTGCAGGCACTGCTAAAGGACTGGAACAGGAATCCAGCAAGTACCGCAGTGCTCACATGCAGTTTTTGCTGTTCATAAAAAATAGGTTCAGGTAAATGTGCAGTAAAAAAGCCTCACCTCATCTACATTTATTTTCCATAGGAGTCAATGAAATATTTGTCTGTCAATACATTGGCACGTCCACGCACAGGAATTAGAGCATAAGGTAATTAGCGCCAAGTTAATGCTCGTTTATTGCAGTCACGGTTCTCTGTTTGCTCTTCCAGGCTATCCCGACCCTGAGGTGATGTGGTTCAAGGATGATCAGCCTGTCAAGGAGTCCCGTCACTTCCAGATAGATTACGATGAGGAAGGGAACTGTTCTTTGACTATTTCTGAAGTATGTGGGGACGATGATGCCAAATACACCTGCAAGGCTGTTAACAGCCTTGGGGAAGCCACGTGCACCGCAGAGCTCCTTGTGGAAACAATGGCAAAAGAAGGAGAGGGAGAAGGAGAAGAAGATGAAGAGGAAGAAGAATGAAACAAGACTAAAAAAAACAATATTTAAAGACTCTCCTTATAAGGCTCAGAAAACCAAGTTATCAAAAGCACCTTGTGTGAAATGTAGGTCTTTGGGGGGTTGTTATTTCAGCCTGATCAGTTGATACCTGTTAGCTTTATGTATGGGCATTACTTCAAACCAACAGGCTTTAAAGTTGCTAGTATGATTGGACTGACTTTAAGCAAGCCATCAACTAAGTTGCCCAGACTACTTTTAAAATCAAATGTATGGAAACCAAGTTATATTCTGCATATCTTAAAGAAAAAATTACTGTTTACTGAGCTCATTGCTCTTTACCGTCACTTTTCTCAGCCAAAACCGCAGCTAAATTGGCTCCCTGAGATCTACTTTAAAGGAATTGTTGGCCAGACACGCAGTGAATCTCTCCAGTCCTGAAGAATAGGCTATCCCCTTAGCTGTATCTTCTGTAAGGGAAGGTTTGACACAGCCAGTTTTGCAATTTGTATGTTGGCATGGTTCATTTCTCGTTTGCTTTAAGCAGAGTTCCACTCCAAACTTCAGACATTCACTGCCTCTGTCAGTGAGATGTTAGTGCCCTTGCATTACTGGCTAGCATTAAACATCCAGGTGTTTTCCTGAGATATTCCTGATCTTTTAGCCAGCTGATCCCACTTTGTCATCTTTCCCTTATGGAACCTGACACTTCAGTGCAGTTGCAGCTGCCTACTTAAGAAACAGAATGAAAACACAAAGACTGAGAATATTTTCTGTGTTTCTGGTCAGTCTAATAAAGACCTATAATTTATATATATGCTGCTGTGGAAAAACAGGTTATTGCACAATCAGTGATTTCTCTGTGCATGTGTGTGAATGGAATCCCCGGTTAGTTAAAGTTTTACTTGCATTTATTTGGCAATTGCAAAACAGATTTCAACTGATGATAAGCTGGAAACTCCCACAGATTTTTTGAGTAGCCAAAAAGATAGTAGCCTGGATTACAAACTCCTCTATTCTTAGCAATTTCCAAAGAATCTTAACCTATATAGGACCTATTTCTACCTTATGAGCTTGATTGTCTTGTTTTTGTCTTGAACCTGCACCAGTAAGGCTGTTGCGTTTTTTAAAAACGCAGAAAAACAAAACAAAAAAAATTCCAAACCCCCCTTTTTTTCTTTTTTTTCTTTTTTTTTCAGAATGGTTAACACACTCAGACTTAGTAACTTTGCTTTCCTTTCACAGTATTGGCACTTTTTAATTTTTTGTTGTTGTTGTTCAGAGGTAATATCAGAGGCTGCAAGGTGATTATGCATAATCCAAAACCAGTGTGTCTTATATCTATGTATCATTCCAGAAGTGATTCTTTTTCTTTTCCACTTTTTGTGTGTAAAGTGCAACCATTTGCATTTCAAAGATTACCTCTTTTGAAAAAAAAACATTACCTTAAATCCTCACCATTAAGTAGTCAGTGTACTTTAATACAGGTGTGTACATTATCAACCTTAGGTTGTTTGATATTACCTAGTTGTGTATGTGTTTCATATGATTTGCTCTTCTACATTCAAAGTTCAACTAATGTGGATGACACAACGGTTTGTAACTGCTTTACTCTTCGTTGCTAAGTTCAGATTGCCAGCATGTCTTTTTTCTGATTGATAAAAACCTCTTGTTATACTAAACACAGTATTGCCACAATTCCTTATACAGAAAGGTTTTGAATCTGATTTAGAGCATACAGAGCTTTCCTCACTTTTTTAATGTTTTAGGCAACAACGGGGTGTATTTTGTACCTTAATAAAAATATGCTAATGTTCTCCCTGTTTGTTAAACCATCAGAGCTGCAAAGATGAGACCGCTACGGCTGTAGTTACTCACGGTTCCTAAATAAAGACTACCACAAAGCACACTCCTCGTATGCTCTGTTGCAGCGTCACTGTGTTCACCTTGGCCAAGCCTTTTCCTCCTGCCCCTGAGAGGGGCCACACAAAGCCATGAGCTGGCAACAGTGGAGCCTTCCTGATGTCTGTGGTGCTGCTGCCCTTCCCCTGCCCTGGTTTGTGCTGCGCAGAGCCTGCTCTGCCCCAGGGCCAGCAGCTCCAGCTTGGGGCTGGCACTCGTGGCCTCATGCTCTGCCCCATCTCCAGTGTCATCACAGGCCTCAGTGGGAACCTGGATCGGGCACCAGGGCGGCTCTGGGTTTATTCCACAGTTGGGAATTCCTGTATGGTGGGGAAATGTAGAGTTCTGAAAGACTGTGGGAGGAAGAGAGAAAAAAAAACAGAAGTTTCAATGTAGATATGGACTTACATCAATGCTTCTAAAAACTGTAAAGCCGGAAACAAAGACAAATCTGCTTGTGCTGCCTTTATTCAGACTTCTGCTAACAAGCAGCCCATGTCACCACAGACCATGCAGGACCACACAGGCTCTCCTTAAAGCAAAGATTGTGCAAACATCCTGCTTGAGCAAATCTTCAGCCCTTCAAACAGCCATCTTTGCAAGGTGTGCCCCACTGCCTTGTGAATGTACCTGGCTTTGTTCAGTGACCTGGTTTCCATCCAGGTAGGCACACACCTGAAGCAGGAAAAGGTCTGGCTCTGCTGGGCTGCCCTGCGGGCACAGCAAGGTCCGTGGGTGCACACACTGGGTATCAAAGCCCACAGACTCAGAACTGCTCTTCCTGCACAGATATTCCCTTCCCTCTCCTCCTTCACTAGTCCTTTTGTGTCCCACAGGCTGTAAACTGCCTATTTTTCTTTTGCCCCAAGGATATTCCAAGGAGTTTATCACTCCCTCTAGCTTCCTATTAACATCCATTCTAGTCTGCAGGAAACAACGACCTCTACTTCCAAAATTATGTGACATGCATCTGATTCAGCTCTGAGCAACTGACTCCAAGCTGTATTTGACCTTGAATTTTCAAGGTAATAGAACAGAATTCTATTTCCACTGAAGAAAGATATTTTATGTACTTGAAACGCAGTCTCAATTTGCCAGCCGTGGTCTAATAAAAGGCATCTCTTTCTATAAACCATGCCTTGCTTGTATAATGTTTACAGAAATCCACTCATAGGGCTGAAACCCCAAGAGCAGAGGTTATGCAAGACATTGGTATTGCCCGAGGTGGACCACTTAATTCTCCTTGTATTTCTTTTGTATGACATTCAGTCTTCTCAAGAGACGACAGAGAATTTGTTTTTCACTACTTGTGTTTCTGGATTTGCAGAAACTTAATTTACTTAATGACCATCCTGTCCAACCTCTCAAGCATCCTGTGCAAATTTCTGGTTGATGAAGAGACCTTTGCTAATTGCATGGGTGGCATGCAGTCGGCTGGGTCCCTGCTTCCCTTTGCTGACAAGGAAGACAGCAGTGGACTGCACAGCCCTCTCCTCTGCAGTGACTGTCAGACTTTGCAAACAGTGATTTTTTTGTTTTTTTATTTTTTTACTTGCATACATGAATAATGAATGATTTGTTCCTCTAAAATTTCTTTGCATGCTTATTGAAATACTGCACTAAAACATAGCTGTTTGAAAGTGGAATTCTCATAAATCATCTTTGCATTTTGAGCCCTATTGTCTGCAAGAGACACGCACATGAATTTATTAGGCTACAAAAATACTCAGATGGAAGCAGAATTTTCTGAGGTGGGGAGTGAGGCTTATGCTGTTATTCTGCACTGCTCATAAAGGGACTGCACCGTGACATGCATGGGAAATAAACCAAGAGATGTTTACCAGATTGGAGCCTCCACTACGTGTTCACAATTTCTGTAGGGGAGAAAAAATAAAAATTCTTCTGTTGTGGCTGTTTAGAAAGGCAGTTAGTTCTATCCGCCCTGATGAGGATGCTTCAGTGTTTGTTGCTGGGAAAGTAATGCTTTCCAGGCTTTTGCTCTTGTAGAGAGCTTCAGCAGGAAATGAGTTACAACTTTTTATTCATAGAGCATCACAGAATTGTTCGGGTGGGGAAAGACTCTGGAGATCATCCAGTCCAACCCCCGTCAAGGCAGGGCCACCTGAGCAGGAACGCATCCAGGTGTGTTTGGAATGTCTCCAGAGAGGGAGACTCCACGACTTGGCTGGGCAGGCAGTTCCAGAGCTCTGAGGGTGTCATATACCCTCAGTGTGAACTTCTTCCTCAGGCTGAGGTGAAATTTCTTGTGTTTTAGTTTATGGCCACTGCTCATTGTCTTGTCGCTGGGCGCCACCGAAAAGTCTGGCACAGTAAAGCATCTGCCTTTGAGATGTTTAAGTGCATTAACGGAGATCGCTTCTCAGTCTTCTCTCCTCTGAACTATATTATAAAAGTGATGCAGAACTACGAGATAGTCCAAAAATAACCTCACCAACTACCGCTCCTAACGTCGCTAAGGACACGACAGACCAATTTCTCCCTGCAGAGGGTGGTTTTGAACCAGCCCTCAAACGCGAGCGAACAGGTGGCAGGCGTCCTGCCGGGCGCCGCTCCCTGTGGCCCGGTGCCGCCGCTGAGGGCCGATCGCGAGGGCGCCGCGGCTGCGCGGAGCTGTCCCCGCCCGCGCG